ATGCAGAGGGCATCAAAATGGGCAGAGTAACAATGCTGATGCAGACGAAAAACAGATTCTGTTTTCTGCTGACTTTTCATCCTGATATCACTGCATCATCAATGGATTAAGGAGACAAAGAGCTACTGTACAGGATGCAAACACACACACACACACACACACAGACAGACACACCTTACACATCTAGTACAAAAACAATAAATAATAATGAAGGTGACCTGACGAGAAAATCCAGGCTGTGTCGTTGTGTTTGTTATCTCTTAGCTTGGCTTCACTTCTAAAGTCTGAGCACTCCTGGTGAGATAGTCTGAAGAAACTTCCAGACTGTGCTACAGTTTGTGCATAAAGCCAAAAACAGCACTTCCTTTTTCACATGCCATGATGTAGTTACTGGCACTCTTTGGTTGTTTATAAGAAAGCCGGAGTGAAAAAAAGTGTGGGCATAAAACTTGCACAACAAGCTCATCCTTGAAAGAAGCGAGCTTACTCATCTGACTGACATTTCTCTTTGTTGTGCCATTCTGGCAACAACTTTATACAATTACCTGTTTTCACGTATACAATACAAAAGCAGGAGGCACTGTTACCGGGCAACAATGGCTTTACACCTACCCTTTGAGGAGAAAACAATTACAAATTTTTACTATTAACCACATCTTAGTGACAGAAACACAAAAAGGAACTCCCAGTCACCAGTTTCAAACCTATTTGGAGACGCCTAACTGTGATTCTCATAAGCAGTGGTACTTTCCTTAATTCAGTAATCACATGACAGGTGATGCGCTTGTAGGAGGAAGTTCGTTGGGCATCTTTCTTTGCCTTTAGACAATAATTCTGATGGCAAAAGAACCAAACGGGACAGGCGCAAGAAAAAAAAAGGAGGGGGTTCTGGTAATAATGCCGGGAGCAGAGTTTTGAACCAGTTGAAGCTTATGGAGGGATTTTTGGGGGAGACCATGCAAGAGAGAATTACAATAGTCAATGCGGGAGGTAACGAGACTATTAAACAAGAATGGACGCAGACTGGGTGGAAAGAGAAGGACGTAATCGGTTAATGTTGCATAGATGGAAATAGGCAGAACAGGTGAGATCACTGATGTGAGATTTATAGGACAGTGAACTGTCTAGGATGACACCAAGGCTCTTAACCTGAGGAGAAGGGAAAACTGTGGAGTTATCAACAGTGAGAGTGAAATGATTTGCCTTCAGTGGGCTGGATTTAGTGCCGACAAG